CTACCCACCAGGAAAGAAGCCACATCAGCATCACGTGTGAAGTCATGTGGCGTTTAGTCGCCGGAAATTTTGCTCTGACCAAAAAATAGATCTTATTATCACCATATCCTATTTTATATACCTTATCGTCACCGGAGTAAAAAAAAAAATACTAAGTTAGTACTTAGGGTCAACAAAATATACCAATCTGGTAATTTAGCTGATAGTTCTAAATTCATTGTGAAATCTTTTTTCTTTCCTTTTCTAAAATTTATGGCCGGCTTAAATTGAACAAAGTGGAGCCGATTATAACTTGATCCTACTTTTCCACATTGAGGATACTTTTTACGCCCAAATTTGATCCTCTCAGTTGAGTCGTTTTTAAGATTTTTATTGGCAGATGGTTTCAGCTTGTTATGAAATTCCGCTTGGTAGGATGTTAAAATTATGTAAGCAACTTGATGTTAAGCGAATAGAATATATCTATTATTAGATACTAATACTACTCCTTAGTATGTATCTTCTCTCTTATTTTTATAAGGAATGGCTTCCACTTAAATCATAGCAATTGGGAAAGTCCACAAAGGCAATAGGGGGTTTCACTTTATACTCCCACTAATCCAGCAGCCTCTCTCTCACACGTATCTTTCTACATGGTGAAATAGATAAAATATCAAGAATATTAGGAGGAAAAGGGAGAAGGAAATTTGAAGAAAAATGATGTAACTGACTTTAGTTTAGAAACACACCAAATGATATCTATCCTCAAGGCAAAAGTTCAAGCTTTTGTCTGAATCGTATTAGTTTCAGATGTTAATGCCACCAAATATCAGCAGTCTTGGCTGTCTTATCAGTGTTAGTCCAATCAGCCTCAAAGAACTTATTTCAATTAAAATCAAACCCCATTTCCCAATATATTCACACCAGACTTGGAGAGAGGAAGAACATAAACAAAAAGAGAGGAGTGTGTGAACACATAATTAAATGTTAACAATTAATAGACATAATGATATTATGACCTTTACATAATTAAATGTTAACAATTAATAGACATAATGATATTATGACCTTTTCCTATTATAACCACAAGATTTCTAGGATCTCTGTACTATTTGTTTAGTGGACTTAGTGGCCTTTCACTCATCTACCAAACAAGTAACATTCAGGCCTTAATGAACTTCTTTTTGAAGTGGGGAAGCTTTCCAGATTCTTTGGGTTTGACTTTGCTGTCTATCTAGGTTTGATTAACCATTAGCATTCCATGATTTTAAACTTTGGCATTTACTTGTTATTAACTGGCCATAGACAAACCAAGTAGTGTTTCTAACATGTAAAAGAATCAATATTTTGCACGATCAGCTTAACCTTTTACATTCTCAATTTGAACATTATGCTCTCCATATTTTGCACGATCAGCTTAACCTTTTTGGATTCTTTTTACCTCTATCACTTACAATTTTCAATCTGCTTGCAGATTTGTTGTGATTGATCTTTCAGCTGGCCCTTGTACATATGGGAAAATAGAAACTGAAGAAGGAAGTGTTAGTTTCAGAACCTTGCCACGGTTATCAAGTTTAATCTTTCCAAGAGGCTCCAATTATGACAGTGTCAGTGCAACAAATGATCTTTTCATTGGACAGCTCGGAGCTCTGATTTCAACCACCATTGAGCATGTTATAGCCCCGGATATTAGGTACTAGTTTTAAGTTTCTTAATTGATTTCTTAGATTGATATTTTATTGAATCAGAAGGAACCCTTTTGCTATAAGAAGCAACCCTTTTGCTATGAAGTTGTCTCTGGGCTTTCAATATGTAGTCATTTTACGAAATGTTACTATTCACGTTTTCATGGTATAGCAAGGGAATTATTCGTTTTATGATATAATAAAGGCATATGATCTAAACTCTTTTTTGTTGTTGTGTGTGTGTGGTGGTGTGGCTGGAGGGGGGGGAGGGGCGGACATATGCCTGAACCTCCAAAATTAAGCTTATTTATGGGCAAATCAAGTAATCCGCAAAAATATGTACGAATATAATTCTTGAGTGTATTGAAGGCATATGATACATGTAGGATGAACTTATTGTGCAATCTAACTAATCTATAAGATTGGACAGATTGTTAATCCTCTGACCATGAAAACCAAGGACGAGAGAGGGACTTGCCTTTTCACCTAGAAAGCAAGATAGCAAGTTGGGAATTTATCTAATTGGTTATGCAACCAAGGAGCATGCATTGGAAATCCTCTACACTAGGTAACTAAAGGGTGAACATTTAGTTTTGAGAAAGCAAGGCAGGAAATAAGAAAAGAGAAACAAAAAGATATTCAATAAAATAATGGACTAGGAAGAGTAGTGTGTACTGTCTGAAACTTGGATCAAGCATACATGCACTCATCACAAAGGTTTGCTCAAACCTGAACTCACGCAGGTTGATCCCCCACAGGTTGAGAACCCTTTTCATGGGCTGAGACCTGGACTCATGCAGATTATTGTACAAATTTTACTCATTGCTTTGTGGGAGTTTGATCTTGACTTGACATTTTTTAAGTTATGAATAATTACCTTTTATTAGATATTAAATTGTTTAGTCAAAGGATTGATGAGATCGTGTGTATACAAGCATCACATATGTTCTTAAGACCGTTACAAGTTGATTCTCATAAAGCTGCAATGTAGAGCTGTGGCGATAAAAGTACAAAGCTTCCTCAAAGACTTAGTATTTACATGACTATTTTCTACATCTTGGTGTGTTTTGTAGGGAATGGTTATGGATGTATTATTCTAATAAGAATTCACCAAATTTTGAAATTTTACTCATAATTAACTTTTGATCCCAGGTTTGAAACTGTTGACTTGACGACAAGGTTATTGGTGCCTGTAATCATATTGCAAAATCATAACAGATACAACATTCTCGATGCTGGCCACAACTATAGCATAGATATCCATGCAATTGAGAAAGAGGTCTGCTTAGTCTTTACAATATCTGGACTTCATTAAATATTCTCTTTCAGAACTTTAGTGATGCAAGCTTTATTTAACACGTAGTGTTAGCTAACTTTATGATGTTCAACTTTTTGTAGCTTCTTGAGAAATGAATTTGGATGCTTCTTTTGACAAAGTGCTAATAAATTCGTGCAATATGAAAATGCGGGTTTCCATAATGGAAATTGTTGGCATGCAGGATCCTTCTGGAGTGTATGCTCATGTAAATAAAAAAATAAAGCCTCTACCCATAACTATTGGGGTCTTACTTGCGAGGATGTACTATATGGATCCTTGTCCTAACTACTCTATCAAATTCAATTACACTACCATCTCGCTTAACTGGAGAACTCATGGTAACAACACACTTGTCTGAACCATCACAAGTAAATATCACTCATCTTATCTCCAATGAAATAATATCAAATTGCAGTTAAATCATCTTTCAACTTACATGCATCTACTACTCTCATTTTGGATAAGCTCTTCTTTTGGACGTGTTCTGTAATTGCACAACTTTTGTATTCATTAAGCATAGCTGGTCTTATGGTCATTTGAAGTTAAATTTCAGGCTATAATCATGTAGTTCTCTGAAAGTAGTGTCACTTTTAATCATCCTTCTTTTATACGGTAAATAACATTCTCGGTGTTATTTTCAATTCTTTTCAGTCTTAGGTTCACAATAAAAGACTTATTCTTCTGAGCAACTGTAGTGATTTTTCTGGAAATTCTCTGCATCTGTTTGAACTGTCTCATACTTTCTCATAATTCTTGATCATATAAATGTATGTACTTGTGACTTAGTTCATTCTTATCAATGAATTCCATCACCTCTTCACTGTGCCATCAATTAAATTTGCTGTTAAACAGTTTCATGTAGACTTGTAGTATTTCTTTTACCGAGGAGATGAATAGATGACACTTAGCAAAGCTATGTGGAGGAAAAGGATTCATATAGCCGACTTGAAATATTTGGGTGGAGCTTTGTTCTCGTCCAAACATATTTCTTTACGGGGGCTGGTTCTGCTTAAACTATTTGATTAAATGCATCCTTGATCAAATTAAAATCAACTTCACTTTTATTGACACGCTTATCTGTTTCTCTTTAGGTGAAGAAGATGGTCCGTGCTGGACAAGAAGTGATTTTGGTTGGCGGTTCACATGCATTACATCATCATGAAAAGTTAGCAATTGCTGTTTCAAAAGCTATGCGAAGTCATTCTCTTCAAGAAACGAAGAAGGATGGGCGATTTCATGTCCGTACTAGAACGTATTTGGATGGAGCCATCCTTAAAGAGGTCAGTTGCATTTAACTAAATTATCATGTCATCCTTTAAAGAGAGCAGTTGCATTTAACTAAATTATCATGTTAATGGTTACATATCATTAATCAATTGTCACCGTTAATAGCATGACCACATTACCACTGCCAGTATTGCTATCATTTTGCACCAATCCAAGCAGGCATTTAGAATACTTAACAGAATGTGGAGGAGATAGGTGTACCTTAACGGTATGTCTGTCCCTATAATTCAACATATTGACTCATAGTACATCAAAGTCATAATTTTGTGCTAGATGTCAACCGAATAGGGGGATATAAGCAAGATGATCCTAGAGGAAGATAATTTGTTCATGAGAAACATTTTTAGGTATGCCATGACATCTCTGAAAAACAATACAGGTGCTATATTCTATGCAAATTTAGAAAGTTTGTTACAAAGTTCACTTTCTGTGCTTCTAAAGATAGAGATGATAATCTGATGTATAGCTTATATCAGGTGACTGAGTTCCTCAAATTGTAGTCATCAACAGTCATCTGCAAGTGTTAATAAAGTTTCAGTAGACAATTCTTTTTATCTCCTTGTCTTATATCTTTGGCAATTTCCCATTTCTGTAATTGTTTCTGTCACCAAACACAACATCAAGTTGTTGCTTGAACTTCCTCTGCCGTAATCCTCTTTTAATATCGTGATTTCTTCTATGTTGGTTAACTTTTGTGGGGACTGCTCTTTCATTGTATGAGTTTAAATTGCATGGCAAATAACCTTCCAGTTCCAGCTAGCTCTAGGATTTATGAAGAGGCTCTCCAATTCTATAAATCTATTTACCACGAACTTGATCTGATTTAGGAATTGGTGTTTAGTTGGCTGCCGGTTAATAGGTCAAATATTTCATGAGCCTGTACACCATAGCTAACCCATTTCGATAAGGGTAAAAAATAGAAGGCGAGGAGTTTATAGTGCACTCCTTGACGTTATGATCTATAGTTTTCTCTTTCTGCAAATTCTTATATATGTTGTTTATTTTGATGCGTGTTTTGGCAAGTTCTGAAGCAGAAAATAAGCATTGATAGAAACGCATGCTCTCAGCTTGAGTGTGTGCTGCAATTTGCTTACGGTTGAACAATTATCTTTTAAGAACAGTACTTGTAACTCATGTAGAATAGTTCATTAACCATGACAACCATGATGTTTACTAAATGTCAGAAAGAATCTTGCATAATGTAATATAATATTGGAATTGTTCGTAGCATGCAATGTTTGTTTGCCTGGTTTCTTCAACTGATGCAACTAACAGGGTTCAAAATTTGGAATATTGGGGTCATGTTGGAAATATTTTGGGGTTAGTAAACATTGGAACGGCATGTTGGATAGTGTATATAAATCACTAATCACCTACCCTAAATCATTGGATTCTCAACACTATGCATAAGCAATTTGTGCATTTATTTTAGCATAGCAATTATGATTTGAAGAGTCCAGCTAAGTCAATAAGTTACTGAATTTTTTTAAGTGAACTTTTGGTTTCCTGTGCAGTACTAACAATTAAATCATACACGCAAAATTATGTATATACATATGTTATGTACCTATATATATATACATAGGGAATTTTTTTAAAAAAGACCCTTTTTGTTAAATAGTTAGCAAAACCGGCCGTTTTGCTAATTATTTAGCAAAACCGACTTCTTTTTGGCCAACAGGCCAAAAGAGGTCGGTTTTGAAAAACTACATCTTCGAAACATACGGGATTACTAGTCCCGTATGTTTAGTGGCCACTAATTGCCCACAAATTCTAAACCTGAAAACCCACAGGACTACTAGTCCTGTGGGTTTATAAATGTATACATATGGGACTTCTTTTTTATTATATTTCTCCAAATATATTAAAGTAAGCAATTGCTTCTCCTATTAACCCACAGGACTAAGAGGGGGTCCAGGAGTTGCCAATTTTGGAAGGGGTTTTGTTATTGTTAGGAGGACTTATAGAGGAGGAATCGACTAATTCCTTCTCCCATTAAAATCCTTACTCTCATGCCCTCGCCCCATTAAAATTTCTTCTATGTTGTGTCTGAGTCAACGGCAATGGCGGCCGCTTCAATTGGACACGCTTATTTGGCCGCGGAAAGGAGGGGTGCGGCGCGTGTGGAGGAGGTGCGTCATGGACCTCGGCGGATGAGAAGGGGCGCGCTGCGCGAGGGGGAGGGGGCGCCGCCCGCCCGCCGCCGGCGCCTCGCCGCCAGCCGCGGGGGGAGGAGGGCGTGACGGCGCCGTCGCGTGCGTGAGCGCAGGCAGGAGTGAAGCGAAGGTGGAGAAGAATACGACGATGAGGAGCTGGTGGTGGGAGCCGGAGGAGGGGAATCCGGAGCTCTACTGGTGCTGGCAGCAGGACAAGCTTCTGGTTGTTGTTCATCCCCTTTTTCATTTTTTTATCTTATTAATTTTTTTAAATTGCTGCCGAATTTTCTGGCCAAGGTAGCATCTTTGTTCAGAATTGCCTGCTGGATAATGGTGCTAAATACAAGGGAATAAATCTCAAGCAATTGTCTTACTTTAATATATTGAGAAATATAATTAAAAAATCACTCACATCATCCTATAATAAGGTGACAACTCATCTCTATTTCTTTGATTTCTTCTTTTTTTTACAAACCAAATTTCACACATTTCCATCCTTAAAACTCACCCACAACGTCTAATAAAATATTATTTTTATCCAACAACTCATCCACCACATCTAATAAAATATTATTTTCATCCACAACATCACTCAACTCATCTCATCTCATATTTAAAAATCACTCACATCATCCAATAATATTGTGACAACTCATCTCATCTCATTAACATTTTATTTCCACTCATTTCCTCCCAAAAAACTAGGAAAATAATTTCTTTAAGTGTGGGTCACATCATCCAATAATATAATGACAACTCATCTCATCTCATCTATTTTCTTATTTTTAAGAATGAACCAAACAAACTTTTTTAAGAAATTGGTTTCTTATAATTCATTTCTTTATTTTTTTGGCCAACCAAACAACATCAAAACAAGTTTTCTTAAAAAATCACTCACATCATCCTATAATAAGGTGACAACTCATCTCCATTTCTTTGATTTCTTTTTTTTTTTTAGCAAACCAAACACTCCCAAAATAATTCTTTGATTTAATAGTTTTCCATTTCTTTGATTTCCAATTTTTTTTGGGCAAACAAACAGGCCCTTATAAACCCACGGAACTAGTAGTCCCGTGGGTTTTGTGGTTTAGAATTAGTGGCCAATTAATGGCCACTAAACATACGGGACTTGTAGTCTCGTATGTTTCGAAGATGTAGTTTTTCAAAACCGACCTTTTTTTGGCCTGTTGGCCAAAAAGAGGTCGGTTTTACTAAATAATTAGCAAAACGGTCGGTTTTGCTAATTATTTAGCAAAAAGGGTATTTTTTTTAAATTCCTATATACATAGCATGGTTCATGCCGTACATGTGTATCTGTAAATACATGTATATTTGTGTATACTATGTGTGTGTTTGTGTGTGACAAATCCTGCTTTTATGTGCTAAGTGCTAAAATTGATACAATGTGGGCCATGATTTTCTGTAGGAAATGGAGCGTTCTGCTGATGTTCTTGCAGCTGGTTTGCTAGAGGTTGCAGATCCCTCACTTTCAACTAAATTTTTCCTGCGTCAGGTTTGTCATTTCAATACAATTTCTCTTGTCAAAAGTGGACATAAATCATAACTTCTTCTGTCATATTCCATTTCCCTCTTCCAAATATTAGAGGTTATCTTTTACATTTTTTCATTTACCTTTTCCAGCATTGGATGGACGAATCTGGTAGTTCTCAAGATTCCATTATCAAGAACAAACCATTGTGGGAAACTTATTATTCTACATATGGAAAAAAGAAGAAAAAGAATGAGAAAAAGAAACAGGGAAACTTGTACAGGACCTACGGAACTAGAGTCATTCCTGTGTGAGTATCATGTATCCACTTTTTTATATTCTTTATAAGCATATCCCAAATTTGTCACTCCCGACTTAGCATTTTGCATTCTGCTCTCTCTGTAGAGATCATATTGGTCCATATGCTCTATGACCTGGAAGAATATTTTTTAAAGATAACAGGACTGCTGTGGACTAGATAAATTGTTGTACAGGCCTGTATAAACTTAAAACCAATAGCAGAGAGATATAAAAGGAGGCATCGACATGAACTTTTAGGGGAGAAACCACATCAACCAAATAATAAGAGGGGAAAGATCTAAGACATTGCATGTTATCACTTATCACCACATGCGTGCAAAATTTCACTGAAATGGTAGGAAGATATACCATGGTACTAGCATGACCTAAAAGAACACACCTTTACCTTGTGATATTTCAAACCTAGCAATATTTTATGCAACTGATGTTGAATCTCTCTAAGATCTTCTAATGAACCATTCCCTCCAGGAAATACGATTCACAAATTCCACCTTGAACATTGTGCACAATAAGTACACAATAATTTTTGTTCATGTAACCACTATACCAAAAGCTTAAGTCCACGGTTTTATTATTTTGTTTTAATTTCCTAAGATAATTTTCTTAAAATTACAATTGTAAAAGCAATAATCTTTCATCATACTGACTTTTGTTTCATAATCGCATTGCAGATTTGTATTATCTTTAGCTGGTGTTGATGCTGATCTCCTAATGGAAGACGAAAGTCTTGTCTGGACTAGTAAAGATGTTGTCATTGTCCTTCAGCATGAAAATGAAAAAATACCTCTAAGGTGAAGTTTAAATTATTTACTCAGGATTGACTTTTACCCCTTAAGAAACCTTTATCAGATTGATTTAGCACCATGACAATAAATTTCATGCCATTTTTTCAAAATGACCCAGGTTTGTAGAAGTAGTAAAGCAATTAGAAATTTGCAACTAGTTGATGCATCCCAAATAAAATCTTTGGATTGGCATAATATTTCTTGTAACCATTATATCACTAAGGTATTGTTAAGCTTCGACTGGCTCCTGCTCAACTTATTGACAAAACATGGTAGAGAGATTGAGACTTGTGAACAAACCATATGATTTGGGGTGACTTATTTCAAGTTAAGCATAATTAGAGGGGTTACCTGAAAAACTCAACATATAAATAGACATTATGATGATAAATAGAATGACTAAAATAGACATTAGGATGATAAATATAATGAAGAAGATAGACATTATATGATCAATATAATGAATAAAATAGGCATTAATATGAGAAATATAATGAAGAAATTATTAACCTAAAAATGATTATACACTAAAACATGAATAACCTATATTATTAAAGAAAAAATATCATTTAACTTAATGGTCAACTAAGATGCAAAGGCAATAGAAAAAATTGTGAAGTAAAAATGTCTTCAAAAGGTTTTTGAACTGATAATATAAACTTGCTTATAACTCAGACTAATTGTTATGTAATATATTTAAACGCAAACACATATTATGATGAGATCACTTAAATTTGCTATAGAGCAATGATGTAAGAAACAGTGTTATCAATACATGCAAGGCGCAATGCGGGGGCGCAATTCCCTTTATGGGTATGGGCACATGCGCAGGGCGTCGCGCCCGAGTGAAACGAGGCGCACACCGCACACATAATTTTCAACATGGATAATCAAGTGCGAAGAACATGTTTATGAATTTTTACATAAAAAATATGTTAAGATAAATAACATCTACTTCTAAATCACAAAATAAAGTCTCAAATCCTAATGCTAACACATCCAAACATAAAAAATATGTCAAGATAAATAACATATACTACTAAATCACAAAATAAGGTCTCAATTCCTAATGCTAACACATCCAATGTAGTAGCGAACATCATAATTTCCCAAATCAAAAGTCAAATCCAGACTATTATTGGAGAAACATCAAATAGTAGACAAGGATAGTTAGGGTCCTCAATCAGACTACTAAAAAGGCATAATCGGTTTATTTTGCTTTTTGGGATATGGGTATGGGTATAAAAACCCGATTGAAATGTTAAAGAAAGAAAATATACAAGGTTATGTCTTGCATGCACTTTGTTCTTGGGAGGCACAAAAGGCGCTGCCACATCAAATGCCAAATGCGGGGTGCTTAGCCACCGCCCTGCAATGCAAGACGCATGAGGCTCAGTGAGGCGCGCGCCTTTAATAAAACTTGTAAGAAATTGGACCTTAGCCACCGCCCTGCAATGCAAGACGCATGAGGCTCAGTGAGGCGCGCGCCTTTAATAAAACTTGTAAGAAATTGGACAAGAGGGAAAATTAGAACTTCATAAGTAATAGCTTAAAAATCATCAGAAGTAAAAGAATCCATGTCTGTTACAACCAAAAAAATCATTGTGACATCACAGTGTAAAGTATAACCTGGATACTATAAATCATTTCAAACAGTAACATTTAATGTAGGTGAATTAGAGCAAGGTGTCCCTGTTCTTATTGAGGAACTCTACTAGCAACCTATTAGCTTAACATTTTAACTGTATTTTTTGGAAATCTATATAATAAAATTATTTAATAGTTTCTTATTCTGAATGGAAAATTTATTCATTTGATTTTTATAGTATGACTAGAAAATTTATTGCATTGTTGTTATGTCTAGTAATTTACAACAGATAAATGAATCGAGAAGGTCTTATGACCCACAGTTTGGTTATGATCATGTTTTGAAAGAAAGATGTATATTGAGGTTATTTTGTGCACTTCCCTTTAACAGCTACGTCTCAGAAACAGCAAGGCAATATGCATTCCCATCTATGTCGCAGCGCCACATATTGGCGGGATTGGCATCTGCATTGGGAGGATTAACTGCACCATATGAGAAAGCATCACATATACACGAAAGGCCCATCCTGAATTGGCTCTGGGCTACGGGTTGCCATCCATTTGGGCCATTCTCCAATTCATCTCAAATCAGCCTAATGCTTCAGGATGTTGCGTTGGTAAGCCCATTTATAGTTAACAGTAGCAAACCCTGATAGAAACAACTTGTATGATTCCGGGGCTTCGTTTGGATACCATGGTGTTTTCCTCCTTGTGTTTTTGTAAAAAAACACAATGGTGTTGTGTTCTCTTAAAATATTTTCAAAACACCATGTTAAGTATTTTTTGTCAACACTAGTTTGACCCATTGTAACATTAGTATTAAACATATTATTAATATATGTTATTTTATTATTAATATAATATTATACTATTATTAATATAATATAATATTAGTAATAATGTTAATATTATGTTATTACTAGTATGTAATTTATAAATTAATATATTATAAATATTTTAATATTATATGATATATTATAGTTTTTAATATGTTAGAGTTTATTAATAGTGCTTTAATAATATATTAGTATTTATGATATAACTAAATATTATCTTATTATGAATATATTATTTTTACATTAACATTTGTTAGCAATTAATTATTTTATTGTTAAAAATTATTTTACTTTATAATAAATTATATTATTTATTACATAATATATTAATATCTTATATATTATATTACACTTACTATACAATATGTTATTTTATATTGTTATGTTATTATTAAATATGTTACTATTATATAATATTTTTGTTAGTTTATTTATATATTATTATTTACTTATTATATAATACATTATTAACATATTAAATATTGGTATTTAATATGTTATTAGATTATTATATAAGATATTTTATTTATTATTTTTTTATATTATTTAATAAATATTATAAATATATTAAATTAGCTATAATATAGTATAGTATAGTATAGTATAATAAGTATGTTGATAATAACTCTATATTAATTACATTTAATATATTATGTTAGATATTATATTAACACATTCTCAAACTCAAAACCAAAACACCTAAAAGGTGTTTTGAAATAAGTGGTATGTTTTTTGTTTGAGGATGATTTAGCTTATAAAACACCATGGTTTCCAAACGCATAGTGTTTTGTTTTTGGCAAAAACACCATGGAAACAAGTAAAACACCATGGTATTCAAACAGGCTTTGAAGAAGGTAAGTTAAGTATCAAGGGAAAGAAAAGAGAGCAAGTAGTAAAATGAATGCATGGGGAGGATTAATAAGAGCAATATTCACAATCTGTTGGACCACCTACCTCTGATATGGCTGTAAATGAATTGGAATCTTTGTTTGGTCCAAACCAGAATCCATTTAGCTGAGTGTCGTAACTTTAACCTTTTTGATTCAGTGTTGAACTGTTATTGCATTGCTAGAGAATTCTTTTTCAAATTTAGTTATTGCTTAGATCAGTTTCCTCTGTCGTCTTTTCTGATATCCCTGCAAGTGTAGATATCATTATAATGTCAAAAGGATAACTTGCGTTGCTAGACCTGCCTTATTCTAATTATATTTTAGTACTTATTCTAATGAGGGAAGTAAGTGTTTCTTTAAGAGAAATATGAAGTCTGTTGCATATATGTTTAGTATCTGTTGTCGATTGTGTACATCCATGATGCTTAGGGCTTATACTGAGCTGATTTATGTTTTTCCTATTTGCATTTACTCTTCTCAAAGAAAGGGTATTATTTGTATGAATTGAATTATTGTTTGAACAGTAAGCCTAAATCCATATCTGATAGACATATGGTGATGGATTTGGATGCAACACGGATACTATTATATTTTTGCTGACCACAACAGAAGCCGTCAACCTTCTTAACAAACTTTCTTCATCTTGAGTCCCTCAGCCATTTGTCCATGTCAATGATTTAAAATAGTAAAATTTAATGTCCAGACGGTAGTCCATTCAAACTGTAATCTACTCCGTTTAGCTTGATATATATATCTTCTAAATTGTATGGACACTTCAAACATAGAGCCATCATGTCAGACAAGTGTCAGACACATATGGTCATTAAAGTAACTTTATTGTGTGTACCTATTCAAACTTGTGTTGTGTATACTTTTTAACTCTTAAGACCATACAGAACATGACGTTCGAGTTTGTGTATATCCTAAGCTATAAATATAAGCAACTTGCATCAGATTGTGTCCACTCAACTCGTATAGCAAGAAAAGACTCAAAACTCATTCCTTTCTTTCCTTTTTGGCACTTAAAATTTGCAACATCGAGATGAACGGGGTAGATTTCAATTTGAATCACTCGTCATTGGAGAAAGGGTTTTTTTCACTTCAAAATTTCCCCTGCTAGATCATGTGTTTAAATCTGATTTGCCTGCCTGCTTCTTAGAGCCAAATTTTATCCACATTTTCTTATTACAGAGAAGCACGATATACGCACAGGTTGATTCTGCTCTTCGAAGAATCCGGGAGACATCTGAGGTATCATAATCAATAAAGTTACATCCAGTTGCCCATGAGTAATCGCTAAACCAAGGATTGTCTTTCTTTCGGTACAGGCTGTTCAATCTTTTGCTGCAGAACACCTTAAAACACCACTTGGCGAGCCAGTGAAAGGAAAGAAAAATAAGTCAAGCACAGAGCTGTGGCTGGAGAAGTTTTACAAAAAAGTAACCAATCTACCAGAACCATTCCCTCATGAGTTAGTTGAACGATTGGAGCAGTACTTAGATGTAAGTATTCTTTTGTCCGATTAGAATCCTTCAATCTGACTAGACCATTTCTACTTTGTCATTATAATTTTCCAAATTTTTTCCCTTCATAATATTAGAAACTTGAAGAGCAGCTCGTGGATTTATCGTCATTATTATATGACCATCAATTGGATGATGCATACCAGAACAGTACTGACATCTTACAAAGCACCGTTTTTACTCAACAGTGAGTATAATTCAGCTATTTTCTTCCCTGGGCACTTTTTTTTTCTTTTCGTTTTTCCATTATGTTAAAAGAGTCTTGGGAAGGAAGATTCTAAAAATCATTTTGGAAAATAAGATCTATTCTCTGCCTTGCCACAAATTTTATTTCAACTGTTATTACGTTAGAATTGTTGGAAGCAAGATTATGAAAATAATTTGGAAAACTAGATGGACTGACCTTCAGCGAAAAGATTGTTCAGCATACAAAACTAACTCACATGAAAACCGGTTAGTTTTTTTTTCAGTTATTATCTTAATGGTCTCTTAAAAAAACACTTTTATGTTCTTCGTTTCAGGTACGTAGAACGAGTTTTGCATACGGAAAAGGAGAAGATGAGGTGTTGCCATATCGAATACACTTTCCCAACTCAAACATCACAGACTTTCGTGTATGGTGGGATCTTACTTGCAGGATTCCTTGTATATTTCCTTGTTATTTTCTTTTCTTCACCCGTGCGCTAGCAAATATCTAGTTCACAAAAGGGAGCGTTAAATTGGAATTTTTTTTAAATTATTTTTGGGTGTAATTTTATTTTCTACTTTGGTGAGCTGTTGTGGTCATTTTTTAGCGGGTGTGTATGCTAGAAATAATGCCTAGGCCTAGGGTATCAATGGTGTTCCTTTCCTGTAGATTTGGAAAACGGGATCGACGACGCAGAGTAGTTAATTTATTCCTTTCTACAGGAGAGTTACATCAAGCCTCAAAATATTGTTGCTGTTGTTCTGCTGTCATTCCTTAACGCATAGCTTCTTATCGCAAAGCTGAGAAGCTGTCTATTGAACGATCAGTTTTTTTTTTTTTAATCATGTGGGGGCTAGGTAACTTCTCCATGATCCTTGGGTATCAAAACTCTGGCTTCATATTTTATTGCTAAGGGCCTATTTGTTTGCACGGAAGTAATTGTGAAGTAGCTGAAGTAAAAGCTACATCTGCTATTTCCAAGCAAAAAAATATGTTTGGTTCTTTGAAAAACTTATTTTCAATACTTTCCTAAATGCTTATGTAGTGTCTACGTGTCATCCTTACTTCTAAAATATTTTTTCAATCCTCAATAATTAGAAGTAGCTCGGAAGTAGTTGAAATGCTTATTAATTAAGACATAAATAATTTTTTTATTAATATTTTTTTATTAGTTACTTCTAATAACTTTTTATTGATAAAATTACTTCCTAGTAATATTTTTAAATGTTATTCAAACAAAAAAAAGTAAATAAAAAGGAAGAAGTTCTATTTTCATTACTTCTAAAAATATATGAAACAAACAAAAAAGTGCTATTTCTACTACTTCCTACTTCATAGCTTTGAAAGTTATTTTTATAACATACTTTGGACAAATTTTCAAAACCAACCGTTTTAGGAATTTAATTGCAAAAAACGACCGCTTTCGATAATAATTGCAAAAACCGACATGTTTTCAGCCCAGCGCTGAAAACAGGTCGGTTTTTGTAAAAAATTCTCCGAAACATCACGGGAGTTCAACTCCCGTGAAGTTTATGGAGAAATTAAACTTCACGGGAGTTGAACTCCCGTGAAGCTTAATTTGTGCTTAAAACTCCACGGGAGTTCAACTCCCGTGGAGTTGCAGTCAACAAATCCAGAGAATCGATCTCTGGAAATTGTGACTGCAGCTTCACGGGAGTTCAACTCCCGTGAAGTTGCAGTGCCAATTTTCCAGAGATCGAGTCTCTGGAAAATTGGCACTGCAATTGCATATGTATGATATAAATTAGATTTTAGAATTTAATTGTGAATTATTTACGAATTTTGTGAAGACGTATTAAATAATTTTGCGTATTTAGAGGTGAAATTATCAATTAATGTGGAAATTAGAGTTACTACCTAAATGTAAAAATTAGTAACAATCAATATTTATTTGGCTTTTCGTGTAATATTGATATTGAATTTTTCACTCTTCAGAGGTAACGATGAATGATCGAATTGTAATTCTCTGTTCTTATGATGGGAAGATTAATTACCTCGAGAATAATATGCCCGTTTATGAAGGAGGCACGACGAGACCGTTGTTCATAACAAAATCGTGTACTTTCGATGAGTTGGTTAATGAATTACACAAACTTACATTAACTAACTCACGTGAGTATCACCTCAGTGTGGTTTGCAATTATCCTGTTGTGGAGAACAGAACAAGTGGCATTCAAATATCAAGTGACTACGATATGGGTCTCATTCATGTCTTACACGACGAGAAGCGTTCGGTCGAATTGTTCATTGAAAAACATCAGAGAGATTTGGGCAAATCGTTGAACTACGAAGGAATGTATTCCCGCATGTTGGAGGATCCTGAAGTTGATTCTGTAGGCTTTTTATCTCCTCAACAAGATGAATGTTGGACACAATCACAATACATGAGCGGTCCTTCGTTCGTGGGCACTTCGAATGCTTTCGATACTAACACGGGAATTCAAGAAGATAATGCAAGTGTTGAATCCGAGAATGATGATGAAGAGGAGGGATTACAAATTAATAGCATGACCGTGATAGATCGTGATGACGGGGAAATCCAACACATCGACGGGGCTTATGTTAATAATGAGTATGTCGGCTTAGAGGATCCGCCGCCCGATGAACTTCAAGGAGATGAATGGATTGATAACTCCGCGATGGAAAGTGTTCCTATTGGCACTAATAGCGGTGTTGATACACAGGCCGAGGACTTCTCATTCATCAAGGGAGATCTTTACGAGAGTAAGGAGAAATTGATCCATGCTATTCGCACGTATTCCATTGCAAAAAATGTGAAGTTCAGGCCAACCAAAAATAATACTACAAGCTATAATGTGGTTTGTTTCTATCGCAAAGATGACGATGTCGAAGATAATAGTGGACACCACGACGGCAATGCGAGGTGTCCGTGGAAGCTTAATTCACGCTCGGGTTCAAGAGTAGGTGGGCAATTCAAAATCACGGCATACAATGGACTCCACACTTGTAGCAATCCTCGATTAGAGATGAATAACAAGAATGCGTCCTCTTCTTTTATATATCGATTGATTTTACCGCATCTGAGGGAGGATCTTGATCTAAGGCCGAAAGATATCCGTCTTTTAGTGCATAAAGCCACCAACTTGGATGTATCATATCACAAGTGTTGGAATGCTAGGAGGAAGGCGATGATAAAAATATTCGGGGATTGGGATAAATCGTATGAGATCTTACCTCATTATCTTGAAGCACTCAAAAGAGAAAATCCGGGGACTGTCTACGAAGTATCTTCGGACCCCGTTGATGGCGGAGAACGGCGGTTCACCGGTGTATTTTGGGCATTTGGGCCCTGTATTGAGGGGTTTCGTCATTGCCGTCCTCTTCTTAGCATTGATGGAACTCACTTATATGGTAAATACAAAGGCGTTTTGCTTGTTGCAACCGGAGTTGACGCGGATGGCGGGTTGTTTCCTTTAGCATTCGCAGTGGTTGATGTTGAAAATACAGAGAATTGGGCTTGGTTTTTTGCATGCATTAGATATCATATCCCTAGTGTGGGGACGCGGCATATTACATTCATATCCGATAGGATGAAAGGAATTCCAAGAGCACTCCAACGACATTTCCCGCCACCCATGCACTCTGTATATATGCTCATATTTTAATCACAGGTCTATTCATTATGGATCCGGGACCGGAGAATCCCGACGTTTTGTACCTTCAGGCGAGTCATTGTTCAGACCATATTGGTTCGGGAGAGGTAATACGAATAAATTAGATATATATTTCTTCGATTAATGTAATTTTTTAATGAATATACTTAAAACTGATTCTCGTTTTATGTGCAGCCCGTACCAGAGTACACGATGATCGAGCATTCCCATAGTCATTCGGCATGGGTCATAGAGGATGAGAGGGTACTAGCTTTGATCGCTCAGGCCGGTTTTCGACCGTGTTCGACGATTCGTTATATCAGGCTTGATTGGCCGCTTATCACTGCTTTGATTGAGAGGTGGAGGCCAGAGACCAACACCTTTCACATGCATATAGGGGAGTGCACGATCACTTTACAGGACGTGGCCGTCATACTTGGGCTCCGGATTGATGGACCGGTAGTTACGGGCACCGACGATCATAGTTGGCCGGAGGTATGTGCCCGGCTACTTGGACAGGTTCCCGACTTGAGGAGTGGTGCGATGAAGCTATCGTGGCTTCGTCAGACATTTCAGGGCGACATACCAGAGGATGCCTCTGATGAGACGCTCCAGTTTCATGCTCGTGCATACATATTGCACATGATAGGGTGCGTACTATTTCCTGATGCGAGCAAGACTCTCGTACATGCACGATGGCTGCCACTGCTGGAGGATTTTGGTGTATGCGGGGCACTATCGTGGGGCAGTGCGGTGTTGGCATATTTGTATCGAGAATTGAGTAGAGTATCTCTGATGCAGAATAAAGAATTCAAGGGATGCTGTACGTTGATACAGATTTGGTCATGGGAGCGCATTCATATTGGACGACCCACTTTACTTATGCACCGTGACTTAGAGGGGCAGTATCCGTTGGCATACAGGTATAATTGTACACACACATATTTCATTCGTAACCTGAATATTTGTACTTATATATTCGCTATTCTGCATATAGGTATAACGTGCGATACGCTCAGTACAAATCAGCGACGCGTCACCGTCAGTTTTACCGAAATGAGCTTGATGGCCTCCAGCATGAACAGGTAAATATAAAACTCAAGAAGTATGAATATTATAGTTTTTCTGTATGATACTGATAAATGTTTTATTTTATTTCAGTTCAAGTGGAGACCCTATACACCGCCGGAGCTCGATATACATTCTCTTGCACCTATCTGCCGAGATAGTCCCGACTTGTGGAGAGCCAGAGTTCCATTGATCTGTTGGGAGATCGTAGAGATGCATGTACCGGACCGTGTGCTACGGCAGTTTACACTCTCTCAGCATATTCCAGATCCTGTCGAGCAGATCAATCGTCGGCGGCGCCCTACATCGCACCGGACTGACTGGGCCGTAGTCCGTGCGGACTACATAGGCAGGTGGGTTCAGAGGTGGGATTGCATACAGGATACGAGGCCCACAGCTGTTGACTATACCACGTATATGCGTTGGTATTGGGGTATCACACGTAGATGGATCACGCGTGACCCACAGCCTTTAGCTGGACACATGCCACGCCCACCGACAGATAGTTACATCCCTAGTGGGATGAACGAGAGAGATTACGTAAGTTTCTAAGCTAAATTATAATATTTTTTATTGAGTTGATACTTAATAAATTGTTTACCACGCAGGTCCGTGTTTTAGATAGCATTGATGCTGATATTGATGCGCACGTGACTGAGATTCAGGATCAGGTGGCGTTAGGTCTCCTCAGCAGGATCAAGAAGAGCATAGCGCAGGTGTTCCATAAGACTCACGTCGACGAGTTCGCAGGCCGTGAGGACAGGTCTCGCTCATTTGGACGGGCGTACACTCGACGTCGACGGCCGCGTGATGATGACGCCGGCACTTCGCATGCCGATGGAGCCGGCACTTCGCATGCCGATGACGCCGGCACTTCGCATGCCGATGACGCCGGCACTTCGCCTGCCGAGTCGGATACTCAGATAGTTGAGGCTCATCAGTAGGAACCCAGGGGGCGGGGAAGAGCGAGGGGGAGGGGGAAGAGAGGGAGAGGAAGGAGGGGAGCTATATTGGGTTGTATATGAACTTATTTTGATAAATTTTGTAACTTTCCTGAATTTTCAAATACTGAACTTTTGAAGATAAATTGTTGTTCATATACATAATCGTGTGTGTTTAATTCATGGTTGACTCATGTATATATTGTTGTTTGCAAATAAATTGGC